TGTATGCTCAATTGAATAGTATTAAACATTTTTGAATAATAAAAATGCTTAACGCCTTCGCACTATTTTTTCTTTTATTTACTTTATCCATAAATTTGATTTAAGCGCTAGCCACTTGGTTAATTGCTTCAACTATAATGTGCTTTTGCATCTAGGGTAGGGCAGTTGGGCGCTCATCCCAATACTATTATGATTATTATGCCATTGAAATGCACTTACTGTCTCAATAAAATTTTCGAGTATTTCATATGCTGTGCTCAATGTCCTTGTATCAGACTGTGCATAAAGGTAGGGCTTGCTTTAATGTCTGAATTTTTAGTGTTTTTCTTTGGGTGCCGAAGGAGGAAAGCATAAGAGGACTCATAAGTACGATATTAAGGTGATTGATTCATTTTTTTAATTTTTGGTTAGCATGCTGACCCAGACAAATATCAGTTTCTCGGTGCTTTTGATAATTGGACACTTGAAGAGGAGTTAACCCTGCTGAGTGCTGTAGAATCTTCCGGTCTTGGCAATTGGTTAGTCAATGTTAATGTATTAATGTGGCATTTAGGGAGGATATCAGTTCAAAAGTCGGTTCGAAATCTTCGAAGGAATGCCATCTTCACTTCGAAAGCCTATATTGCTACGGCCCTTTAGGGACCCATAGGATGATCCAACCTAGACAAACCACGCCAAGGATACAAGACCATACTACTTCTACATCCAATTTTGAGACTAAATTTGACCTTAGGGGCTTTCAAATCCAAGATGAACTTCAATTAATCGGGTTTATGCATCATAGAAACGAGTTCGAAGTGGTATGTTACTCTAGTAACTTCTTCATGACAGGATTATTGTAATAACGCGGAAAGCATACTTTCCTCTATACATTCTTTTACTATCAATGATGAATTGGACGAAGGTGAGTTTTTATTTATGTTTTAAAACTTCTTAAAATACTTGAAAGTCGCATGAGTTTGCATATTTGCTGAGGGCGTTATATGTGCCTAATTTGATGCTTTATCTAGCTTTAGATGGTTTGTTTAATTACGTAGTAAATTTGTATTTCTTCATCCGGGGGTGAATGATAGATTCTCCTTAAATGCTATATTTTATATCTAGTATCTAGTAAAGTTTTGATTTCGCCCAGCTACCTTTCTCGTTAAAAATTGATGTACTATAATTTCTGAGTTTGTATATATATATATATATATATATAGTTTACCTGCTGCAAATTTATCTCGTCTTCGAGATTACGCGTTCATCTGATTCACTTATTTTTGACATAATATTCTTCCAATTTGCTGGTCATTGCTGATCTCTATACTGCTTGTTCGGATGCCTGAAGACTGAAATTTATTATCAACCGAATTCTTTAAAGGGATTTGATAGTATTTTTTATCCAAAATTTCGACAGCTTGTCTATGCGTCTGTTTTTTTAACATTTTAATCTGATTTAGTCCTATTTTTATTGTCGTTAAGTCACTTTACGAATCTAGATCCGTAGACCCTTGTTGCCGTTATTATAAAAACCATGTTCTTTTTAGATTTTCATGCTATTCACTTTGAGCCCCTTATGATACGAACCTTTAGTTATATCTTTAGGTTTAAGCCTTTCGGATGTAGGACATATCTTCTGAGATCGAATTCTATGTTTGGCATATTGAATATGAATATATGCCCAAACCGAATAGATTTTACGGGTCTAGTGTCATTCTTGATGTTTCAGCAAAACCAGCCGATATTTGGCTAAGGGCAGACTGTCTTCATTTTCTCTTAGGGTCGACCTTTGAATTTTTTTCAGTAAATTTGTTTGAAATTGAAGTGAGTTTAACCATTTCCAAGTATATTCACATCAAAGATAACTGGAGAAGATGTATATCAGTCGAGATTAATTGGAAACGACCTATTGCAATGCTCAAGTGGTCCCAATGCTAATGAATTGAGCATAAATCACTCACTCATCTCTAGACAGATTCTGACTAATCGTCTCAGTAGGCGAAAATCACTCGAAAGCTCAGCACGGATTCATCGGGTTTGAGGGACGGTATGCCGAGGACTTGTTCGCACAGTACATTCTCAAGCCTTACCTCAACTTGAAGTATAATTGATCAAAAGGTTCCGAGTTATAGGAGGTGTATTGAGCAGTCATTCTTTTGCTTACATTCGCTAGGAGTATTCGTTTATAGGCTGGCTTACTATATTATTATTGCGTTTTCGATCATGATTTTTGCAGCACACCTAAATCTTCGTAAGTATAAATATTGTTATTATACGGCTTATTTAAATAACCACTTCAATCTAGATCGCTATCATGGATATCAAGAGTCTTATTGCTAAGTTAGGCTTTGATTATGATTAAAGTTTGAATCCATCAAATACTTTCTCTTCCTCTGCCCTTGCAGTCCTCTGAAGCCCTAAATTAATTATATGCAATTGGTAGTCAACAGTAGTAGGTTTCCGTTAATGCAATGCAATCCGATCTTAATTTAATCTTATTTTTAAGCTCTTTTCTAATACACCTGTTCAATTTGTTAATTGTTTTACTTTTAGGGCTCTTTTTGATTGATCGTATTTCACTTGTATGTATGGATAATACGGTTCGTATCTTAATATGTGAAGGACGTATAAGAACTTGATTTTGGTTTCATATATATATATAATGTCCTAATCTCCATTCTTAAGACGTAATGCATCGATTTGGCAGGTTATTTAGGCTTTATAATATAGTACCAGGCCTTGCAAGTGGCAACGCATAATCGCATCCTCTAAAATACCTATTTTCCATTGCCTCGACTGCATCAATTAAGTTTAGTCTTTATTTGATGTCCTGTTACTGAATCAATTTGTTAACGAAAGTGCTTGTGTAGAATCTTATTACTTTCCTTGATACATGGCATATTGCGGATGAATTAATGCAGGCTATTGTGATCTCGGTTTATTTTTATTTATGCTCTTTAAGTCAGTTAAATGATATTGAGGGGGATTGATGCATGCTTAAGTTGTATTTTAATGTTTCTTTGCATCCAGATTTACCCTGAAATTGGCTCGTATAAGTTCAAGTTTCCTCAAAAATGTTGATTGCTCATATACTCAGCTCAGCAATGAAACTTTAGTGACTTACTCCACAGTCAGTTTGGCTACATATTTCGTCACAACTGGTCTGCAAGCGGTTTTTTCTCAACTCACGCCACACTACTCGGATAATGACTCATCGGAACTGCCCCGGGGGACTAAGCCACCCTATTCACCGCATCAAGCCTCCCTGCTGGACTAATCAGGACGTAGCATTAAGAGTACACGAGCACCTTAAGCCAGAATCTCCGTAGGCCAGGGGCATTCCTTCTATGTCGCTTTCCTTGTTTCGTTACCCTCTGTTACCAAACCCTGCCCTCCTACACCGACACTGCACCAAGTCATCGTTTTTGTTTTCTCACATCGAACATTCGCCTGTAACTTCTTTTTCCTCTTTACAATGCTGGGGAACCCCATACAGTAGCGCGAGGCCGAGCACGTATATGTAGTGAACAATTTGTATCATTAAATGCCATGTCTAAATCGCCCTTTAGCTGCTGGGACATCTAGTCTGGTCAATGATATCCATAATAGCATTCCTGATAAATTTATATAAATTTGCTGTCCATCATCTTTTATTTTCCCCTAGATAAGGATTTGTCTTCTGCCATTCTAGTGCGTCATTTAGGGGTAATGAGCTCAATTGACCTGTTTTTAACCCTTATACTCAAAGCTTCAGCTTCTTAAATCCTGTTTGGCTTCTTCGGCGAAGGAACAAATGTGATTTATGTTATCTATAAATACGAAGAGAAACTGGGTTTTGATGAATCTCCTGAGATAACATTGTTGGGCGGACTTTCATCTCTAATGAAAGTGCATGAAGAAGAGATTCGTAGGTCGATCTCATTTAATGAGGACGGCTAAATCGCATTGTATTGCAGCCGTTTAGCTTTTATATGGCGTTCAGCTTGACGCACCACAGGTGAATTATCTAGGCGCGAGATTGCTCTACTTTCAAACAGAGACCTTTGTTTTAGGACTCAAAATAACGTCTTTTTTTTTGCTGGACAGTTTTTTATTTTTACGTGAATTAACATGATTTCGGTTTTATTAGCCCACATTGATACGTATAGAAAGTATGGCCGGCTGCCAAATCAGGTACGGCGGCCGATACGTATAGGAGTAAACGATGCTATAATTCCAGAATGCGTCAGGCCCAGCGCTAGGAGCATGCAGTTTTCTTGCCATGATTCATCGGCTCTGATTTGCCCAATCACGTATCTTCCCTTTTGGCCCTCAATCTCGAAACCTGTTCTGATTATTGATTGCCTATTTTACTCGCCTCCCCCCTTTCTATGCGACCAATGTTATATTGTTCCCTTTTTTCAAAGAGCTACGTCTCAGCCTTGTTGACATTTATAACCACTGCCTTCTCGAACGGCAACGCAGACATGACCTCGTGGCTGGGTTTGGCCTGCTGCCTTCCGCTCTAGCTGTTCTCTTTCCTGATTTGCCATTGACCCCTTGCACATCATGCTGTCAATCGTCTGGGCGATCCCTTAGCCAATCCGCTAACAACCTATCTAAACCAATCGTATCAACGAAAAAGCCCCGTAAATCCGCTTATGGGCGGCGGAGAAAAAGGCTTTATGGACTTGCTTTGCAAAGGAAACTTGCTTTCAAACAGAAACTAAGTCGAGCTGGCCAAAGGTTTACTCCCATTTGCAAACCATCCAATAGTCTTGGTGCAAATAATAAAGAACTGAGTCTCGGTGATGTCAATACGTCAGCCAAGAGTGAAGTTGTTAACGGTTTATCAACTCGCAATGACCCTTTGCAACTCCGAAGTGGAAGCTTTTTATCTCTTCATAACCGTGGTATTGTGTTGCGCTCTCCGACAGTCGTTCCATCGTCTCCGGTCTATTTAATATCCGAAATAGATAGTACAAATCTACCCAAACTAAGCAGTTCGTGTTCATCTACTCCCTCTTATTGTGCTGCCGAGCTAATTTCCAAGGTATTGTCCTCCAATAACACTAAATGTGGTTATTTCTCTTCCGCAAATTCTGATTTCAAATTAGCGCATAATCAGGAGGGGTCGGATGTTTCTCTTGCTTCAATGGGTATCAATATCTCAAATCTAGCTAAATCACAAAATTCAAATGTGAGGCCCCAACTTCAGCCTAGTGGTCTTACCTCTCGGACGAATTTGGTTGAAAACCCTGATGACCAAACACCTCTTGTTGATCAGTCGCAACCTCAAAGCCATTTCACTTCGTCTGACTCGGTTGATTCCGGAGTTGGATCCTGTGAATCCTTTATCGCAGCCACTCCAGTCACTTGTTCTACTGGAAAACTTCCTCCAGCTATTAAAGATATGTCTCCTGGGTGTTCGTATCGAACTTCGCCATTATCTGCAAGACGGCAGAAAAGCCTCCGACATCCGCGGAAGAAACATACACAAGCAGCTGATACTGTCGACCAGTTTGCTGTTAGCTCGCTTACTTGTTCTCATGGAAACACTTTATCTGCTGATCTTGATTGCTCCCCACACGGGAGTCTCTATTCTTCACCACGACCATTAAAGGTTACAGACCACTCTTTATCCAAATTTCATTACTCTATGTCTGAGCATTGTACCCAGGCTACTCACAGTTCAGCATTCATCGGATTCGATCCTTCCACTTATACCTCACGAGTTGCCCGTTCTAGCCCTCATTCTAACCTCTCTCGAATAGCTGGTGGGCGAGATCGCTGCTCCTTTGTCGCCTCTCCTTCGGTAACCTGTTCTGGCCACTCCACTACATTTTATACATCTGCTCATACCGCTAGTAAACCAATCCACTGTGATCTCTTGTAAGTTTCCATTTTGCAAGTTACACTAGCTATTTATAATATATCTTTAAATATGATTGTTTTGGTTGAAGACACTAACCCCATGTTCATTTAGACATGGCATATTTCCACTCATTCATTCCAATTAGTTTGTATTTTGTGTATTATTTTTAGATTAGAATTACAAAATATTCGGTGGCTACTGCCCTTTCTTCTTGGGGTTGTGAATTCGTGTGAAATCTCAAAAAAAGTTAAATTAAATCAGGATTGACCCAAATTTTTTTAAGTGTCAAGATAAAATGAGTGAACTCGTCAAAATCACCCCATGCATAGAATCATTGTGATCTTCGAGATTAAAGTATTATTCTGGTATATATTAAACTAGATATTTATATCGAAGATATGAAGACCATGACGGTGTGGCCCCCATTATGGTCGCAGTCTCCTTTCGAATTATAGAAATGGGTTGACTCCGTTGTCGCAACTTGGTCTTGTTGTCAGGATGACTCAGTATAACTCGCATTGTCAGAAGTCCTCTGCTACAGTAGTTATCATAATTCCCAGCGTCAGACCGGGGACTTGGTACATTCTCGGACCTTTCGCCGGCATCGTAGTCGGCATCATCAATGAGTGTTGCCACTCCGCACCAATCTACAAACTCGTCTACACCAATCAACCGCACCAATCTACAAACTTGAGACAAGTGAAGTAGATCCATCGACCAATGTTCTGCCGAAAACGGATAGGAGGACCGAGTCGGATTCGCCGATCGAAATAGACCAGGTCGGGGTGAATAGCAGGCGTGATGAGGACACGTTTTGACGAGTAGAATGTAAACAAATCGGAAGTTGTGATAGAGCGGGAGTTGGATAAGGGGGTAGAGTAGATAAATGGGCTAGGACAGAAAGAGGAGTGATAGTGTAACCTTTTTCGGCAGTACGTTGGCCGAGGAATTGAATTCACTTGTCTCTTTGACGAGTTCGTAGCTTGTTGCGGAGAATGGCAAAACTCACTGATGATGCTGACTACGATGCCGTTAAAGCATTTTTAGAATATACCAAGTCCACTGTCTAATGCTAGGATGTATGATAACTAACATGGCAGAGAAATTCGGACTAG